GCCCCCCGCCTCTCGCCGCTCCCGCCCCGCGGCCCGGCGGGCTCCGCTCGGCGTCGGCTCCCGATCCCGGCTGCCAGCGCCTACTACTCCACGCGCTCCGCAAGCCTTAGCTCTCGCTCCCCCGTCCGACCGCTCCGGCGCCCTGCAGCCTCGCCAGGCGTCAGTGCGCGCCGCGACGCCGTGCCTGGCCAGGGCCTGTCCCGGAGCCTAGGGCGGCCCAGCGAGCTCCAGGAGCTTCGGCTCAGGCGTGGTGTCGGACATCTCCTCCTGCTCCCCCTCGGCCTTGGCGTGGCCTCGCGGTGCTCCCCTCTTGCTGCCTGGTTGCCCAGACTTAACGGAGACAGACCGGTAGGGTGGCGCAGACGGACCGACGAGGCTTGGGGAGGGAAGCAGAGCACTCCTTGTCGGTCTCCCACCCTTCACCTCCAGCCTGACCCTGCAACTCCACACACAGAGCTGGGAGTCACTCCCACTAGTCCCAGTTTAGGCTGCAGGGCAGATTGGAAAAGGCCGAAGCCCTGAGAAGGAGAAAGGTAGCAGGTGACCAGTGCCCACTTCAAGGGAGGAGTCCAGTCGGTTTAGCGCCTTGGTTTTGTGAGCTCGCTGCTCCAGATGAGGCCACAGACAGGCCAAGGGAAATGAAAAACTAGGTTTCTGGGAGTCCTTTGTAGTAGCTGTTTCCACGTGCCTTTCCCCTCAGTGCTCTTCAGTCCCAAAGTTTGGAAGAATCCCTATTTTCTAGATAACGCTATTGATGCATTAGGTAATTTCTCAGTTACACAACTCAGATTGCGGGTCTAGGATTCAAACGCGCAGTTTACTTAGAGGCTGAGTGCTTCTGGCAGTAGTTAACATGGCCCCTGCTTACTGTGGACCAAGCTCAGAATAAGAGGGAACTTCAAAAAGTTCATGGAGAGGGACCAGCAGTTAGCGTAATGGCTATGTCGCTGAACTCCCATATAGTCGCCCGCGGTTCGAGTCCCGGTCCTGGTGGCTTAAACTCATGGCGGGTGCGTGTGCCTGTGTACCCAAGATCCTAAGGGGAGAATGGAGGAGAAGGGATTGCAGCGTGACCATCTCCCGACCATCTCCCCTGTGGGGGTGATTTCTCACTTTCTCTTTCTGGCGAGCGCACACGCGCCCTATAGCAAAAACCTCTCCAAAAGGTAAATAAATAAATAAATAAAGTTCATGGAGAAATAAAAGTATGAGTTTATTTAGGTGAAAAAAAACATTGAAATTCATTATAATTATTTTATCATACAGTTTTCCATAACTTTCTGAAGACTCCCTTGGTATAAAAGTGGTTGTGAGATTCCTGTTTCTTGAGGCAGATCCTGGCATGTCTGTGCTAATCATTTTTTTCCTTTTCTTTACTTTTTCTTTTTCAAAAAAAAAGAAAACCTATATTAAACAACAGTGGTTGCTGTGGTGAAAGGCTTGCTTGCTCGTAGCTCTCTGTTTCTAAGAGGTACACAGTGTTCAGTGCATGACCAAGGCAAACAAGCGCCTGCTTCCGGCCCAACCAGGACTCGAAAACATCCCGCTGCCCTTTAGGGGCTGACTGCAAAGGTCTGTCACAGTGAATAGACCACTGGGTTAGCATTTGAAGACGAACGCAGAGATTTTTCTTCAAAACTCTGCATGCACCTTCTGGTCCTCTTACTTTTGAAGCATTGGCTGTAATTTTTACCAAATTCTTCTACTAAAAGTGTTGACCTTTGTGTCATTCACATTATTTTTTTTTGAAAATTCTTTTGAAAAAGTGGGAAATATTTAGTACATACTTAGAACCAGAGGTCCATAAAATCCTAAGATTTGCTCACATAAAGAGTGTTTCAAAACCTTAAGGAACTAAGTGCCAGCTATTTTTTTTTTCTAAATAATTAATCATTTCTGGAAACAAAACTCAGACTCTAAAAATGACTAGGAAACATCTAAGATAGGGTAGGGTCAGGGGTCATTAAACCAGTAAGTAGATCCTAAATCCTTACATAGGAGATTGATTTTTTTTTTTTTTAAATAGCTTTCTGGTACTATTACATCCTCTTTAAAAGCTTCAGAGACTATGAGAAGTAGTTCCTTCTTACAAATGGATTGGTGGCTTATGACCTAAAGATAAGATAAAAATTAAAGAGATTATATAGTCAACTTTTTTTCATCAATAAAAAGCTTATATTAGATTTGCTTTTTTGCTGATCTTGCAGAAAAAGTTCTATTTCAATCTTGAATACCAAAGGGAAGCAATTTTAATGAGCTGCAGATTCTTGGTACGTTTCATGTCCTGGGGGAACTTTTTCAAAAAGATCTCACTTGTGAATTGAGAGAGTTTGGGTTAAACTATAAAATCCTTCATGTGAGAAGGGTAGTCTTCCTAGTTGAACTTTACTTCCAAATGTGTTTCTTTTTTTGCTGTTGGGAAAGGTTTTTGTTATAGGGCACATGCACTCACCAGAATGACAGAGATAGTGAGATGGAAAGCAAGAAATCACTCCCCAGTGGGGACGGCCATGCCGCAATCCCCTCTCCTCCATTCTCCTCTCAGGATCTTGGGAACACACACACACATAACCGGCATGAGTTTAAGCCACCGAACCGTGGTTGACTACATGAGAGTCCAGCAACATAGCAGTTATGCCAACTGCTGGTCCCCCAAATGTGTTTCTTAAGACAACTGGACTAATGTGAACTATATGTATGAAAATGTAACCTCTGGGCGCAGGGGCAAGTCTTACAGGAATTTGTAGGTTCTGAAAAGGAATATTCAAGAAACATTTTCTATAAGGCAAACTTTGATGTGCTGTTATTTATTTATTTATCCCTACAGAGTATCTCTGTATAACTGAGGCAGCCTAATATGGAGATTAAGAATAACAGAGCCAAATGGCTTGGGTTTGTCTAGTGGCTCTGCTCGTATTTGAAAAACTTGTTTATTCCTCTGAAAAATAAGGATAACAATCGCACTCTTCTCATAGGGTTGATGTGCAAATGCAATCATCTCATAGATATTGAACATTTAGAATAGAGCCCAATATGTAGGAAGTGCTATGAAAGTGTTTGTTATTATTATTAAAAGAACAGTTGGCTTCAAAGGAACAATTTAGAGAAAAGACGAAGAGACAAATTCAGATGCAAGGAAATGATTGGATTTGGGGAAAATCATTGTATGAGGCAAGTTGTAGATGAACAGTCTTCAAATGGAAACTTTACTCCCTAAAGCTGGAGTCTAGGGTTAACCCATCTTCCGTGAACCCAGCTATCTGACAGATCCAGCCAGTGGGTCTTCATATGTTGAAGACGATGACTCTTCACATGCTGAAGAGTCAAATGCTGTTGATAAGCCCAAGAGTGGATTAGCCTAGGATGCTACAGGACTGTTAGGACAGATACTTCCTGAGTCTACTGTTTATACGTACATAAGCTGTTAATTCTCTGTATTATAAGCTTTGTAACTGAAGTATTATATTTTGGTTTTCCTCATACCAGAGTATCTTGGGTTAAATAATATACTGGCAGTAAAATGTGATATCAAATTTCAAAGCCCTAGTGGTTTTCTGGGATTCCAAGTTCATTTCCCTTTCAATTAATTGTCATGCTATTGCCAGAGCTAATGTAAAAGTCACTCCCTGGCTAAATCTTATACAAAGAGTCTTCAAAAAGGTCATGGAAAATGCTTATTAGTAAAAAGCAGACATGAAATCCCACATTATTTTCTGCACCAAAATAAACTCATACTTTAATTCCATTTTCCATGAACATTTTTTGGAGTCCCTGCATATGGTTTCTGTATCCTCTTTGTCTATGAAATAAATTGTAAAGTCTCTGCATGGCACACAAAGTTCTTCCCTTATGTGACTGGGTCTACATTTCCAGCCCCATTTGCACTGGCTGCTCTCCGACACCCTATGATCCAGTTACAGTATCTTCTTGTAGTTGACCAAATGTGCCACCCTAATGTATGCCCTTGCAGGAGTTGTTCTCTCAGCCTAGAATACCTTTCTCCTTTTCTATTACTGTGAAACTCTTATTCCAGATCCAACTTCCTATTTTCCTTGAAGTATTGCATTAACTTCTCCAAGGAAAGCCATTTTTCTATGTTATCATTTCACTGGGTGAAGTTTACTAACTTCCTCCCTCCCTCCCACCCTCTTTCCTTTCTTCTTCCCTTCCTTCTTTCCTTCTTCCCTCCCTCCCTCCCTCCCTTCCTTCCTTCTTGCCTCCCTCCCTCCCTCCCTCCCTTCCCCTCCTTCCTGCCTCCCTCCCTTCCTTCCTTCTTCTTTCTTTCTTAGAGATTTTTGCTATCGGGTACATGTGCTCACCAGAGAGAAAGTGAGTAATCACCCTAGGGGGTGGGGGGATGGCCACACCACAATCACTTCTTCTACTTTATCGTTTTGGGATTTTGGGCACGTATGCACATATGCCTGGTGTGATTTTTGAACTGTGGTTTATCATGTGGGAGTCCAGTGCTTT